TTTATATTGGAAAGTGCAGAACAATCCTATCAGCAGCCATAATAGATAGCATAACACAAACACATAGATAACCACATACAACACCTTAGGTACAAGCAAGCATGTGCACACTATATCACTATCCCACTGTATAGGCTCACTGACAACACACCCAAGTAAAAAAACAAAGAACAGAAAAAGATGTCAGAGGTGCCTGACAATCTTCTCACACTTGCTAATATCAGTAAGAGAAACAGTTTGTCAAAGTTCAAAATTTTCACGGAGATACTAAACTAAAAGACACATATACACACACTCTACATCAAACAAGAGTAAACCTGTTTATCATTGAACTGTCTCTTCAAGGTCCTGATGCGTTGTGGCTCATCCTCATCCCATGTAAGTTCAATATTGCTATGCTGCAAAGCTCGAGTGTGAAAATCTAGACCTTCATAATCTGCAGGGGCCTAAGTACCAGAAGAATATAACAATCGAACACAAATACAATTAGATTTTATGTTTTCAGCCAATAATAACCGTTAAAACTAAAGGCTCCTATGATGAGAAATCGTAGCCACAAATTACCTCTGTTGCAATGTCACGTGGTTGATGCTTGAATTCCATGGAATCTGGAATAAACCTCAAATCTAATTTGTTTGATGTTCTCTCAAACTCAACCCCATCACAAGTTTTGTAAAGATAATCAGCTGTAGCACTTGAATCGCATTCCACCACAGCATAATAATACCTGCGAAGTACATAAGAAAGTATCTTTGAAAAGAGACCTATACATAATGAAGGACGGGGAATTAATAAACACAGAATGGAGTAGCATAAGGGTAAAAAAAGAAGAGGAACCAAATAAATTTCATAAAGGTTTATCAACAAGTTATCATTTTTAGTCGGCAAAAAATGCAAGAATCACTTAAAGATACATTACCCAGAAAAAACACAGAACCAAATCATCACCTGAGCCGACTCATCTCATAGGCGCGTAATTTCTCATTGTCCATCTCATCATCATCTTTTTCTTCTTCTTCATCATCATCACTGTCTTCATCTTTTGCCTTTTCCTCGTCAAATAGGCCAACTGGACCATGGACAGCCTCCTCTTCCATACGCTTGAGACCAAAGTCAGATGGATAGACAGCAACAGATGTTATTTGACCCCCTCTTGGGAGAAAGGAGCTCAATAGCATATACAAGTCAACTGCCTACATAGCATAACAGCTTGCTGAGAAAAGAATTTAATCGTTCTATAGAAGTTAAATACATCAAGGCATAGTTTGGTTAATGGCTATTTATGGAATATAATAAAGGGTTTTAATAACAGTGTCAGGTTTGTTATAAAGTAAAGAATAATGTAAGGTGCAGTGAAATATAAATTATACAGGGATTCCATACTCCAAGGGATTTATTTGTCTTCTGTTCTGATTCATGCATTACTACTAAATATTTCATTATTTCACATTATGCAGCGTAAACAATATATACATTTCACATAAATTTTGCTTTAAAGGAGTGCAGAGCTTAACACTGAAAAGCGAAAACTAAACAATATTAGCTATGCAGAGGTATCTACCAGCAACATTCTATAGATCACTTCAGTAGTTAAGAAATCTATATTACAAACCAAGTGACCCCTTATAAGTTTGAATCGAGGTGCAATCCACATTATGACCACGGTAGGGTATGATGAATGATAGACAACGCCCAACACTATCATATATTATAGACAAATGCATGAACCCATAGATAGCCTCCCGTATACACTGACTACCATTTCTATTATTTTTGCCTGCAACTCAACTTCAAAGCTAAGGAATACTTCACCACAATACACCAGTGCATAACTTTTTTTTATAGGTAGCACCTTTCCACAACTATTTCTATTTTCAAAATTGAATGCTCGGCACAATCTCTTAACAATTTAATCCAGTGTCCAGAAATGCTCAAACTGTTATTCCAAAGTTATATGAAACATTTAGACAAGGCCAGTAACGGTCAAACTGAACTGAATATTCTCATTCCAACCAATTCAACCGCCTGCAGGGCCAAATTCATCTTGATAGAGTTGGTTTAAGCAATTATAAATTATAGTACAGTTAATGTAAAACAATTATAATTTTACCATATCGAAGGACAAAATTTCCAAAATTTGACACCTTTCTAGGGATCATTCAATTAATCCATATTGGAAAAGAAAAAAAAAACTAACCTTTACTCTACCCCAATCCATGTTAACAACAGCAAGCCTCTTAGTTTCCTTGTCAATCTCAGGCACATCCTCTTTCTGATTCAGACCAAAACAAAAAAAATTGCAAAATAATTAAAAGCCATAAATTCAAACATCATACCCAACAAAAATGCTGTCTTTTTCATTGTATACCTGAATGAAAGTGTCTTCCTCCTCTGAAGAAACTTCGTCCATTTCATCATCAGAATCAGAATCCGAAGCGGAATCGGACGTACTTGCCAGTGAATTATCACTTCCCACCTCTTCATCTTCATCTTCTTCGGACTCTGATGATACGGCGCCAACTTTCTTCAATTTATGGTCTTCAATTTCTTCCTCACTCGTCCCACTGTCACTCTTGGTCTCTTCTTCTTCTTCTTCTTCTTCTTCTTCACTGTCATCATCGCTTTCAGATTCTAACACCTTTAATTTCTCCTTCTGCCTCTTCTGTTTCTCACCCTGTTCTTCTTTTTCTTCCTCAATATGGTAATAATGGTTAAGAGGGTTTTTAGCAGAAGATTTACGGGGTTTGCCTCTAATATCAGTCGGTGCTTTTGATGATACGAAGTTTTTATCAGTGAACATACGATTAAATCGAGAATCAATGGTAACTTTAGACTTTTTCTGCGGTGGTTCGCGGAATCTAGGATCCGAGTGCAACGCCGCAAATCGAGAATCATTGATGACACTCTTTTCAGTTCTATTTCCTCCGCCGCTTTCATCTCCGTCTGCGGAGGAGGCATCGGCTGGCCTTTTCCCCTTTCTGTTCTTATTACCCTTGTTTTTTGACTCCATGAATACGTTCTTCTTCTCTCTAAAACCCTAAAACCCTGAAATTTATTACATAATACAGACCGTATAAACATGGAAGAAGAAGAAGACGACTTTACAGCTCCATGAACATTCAGAGCCCAATAAGTTCGGCCCAATTACATAAGTTGATGAGCCCAGCACAAATACTTAACTGGATCAAAATCGGATGACTTACATAAATAACCTTGGAAGTTGATGGTTGCACTTTTGACCTATTTAATTATTTATCATATATATGGTAATGTATTTTTTGATGGTTACTTGTACCTTTGTTTGATTGACTGTTACGTATTGTTTCATAATATGTCTTGAATTATGTTATATCTAATAACATCTTGCTTATTGGATGTTAAATAAAGTCTATATGATCGATTTGTGCTATTGTTTTTATCTTTTATTAAATAATTTTAGTTAATAATTTTTAAAAATATTAATTAAAATAAATATGATACATTATTATTTTACGTGATATGGATTTGACATATCATTTATTGTAAGGGCGAGTGAACTACATGCAAGCTAGAAGAGATTTAAAAATCTTATTTTGATTGGACCTAAGAGTTCAATTAATAAAAGATTAAGTAGAGGAGTTTATAATACATACTCATACGAGTACAATGGTAGCCTTTATCTAAAATTAATATATTTATTATAAAATTGATTCATATATATTTTTATTATTAAACAAATAGTTCACATATATTATTTTCTATGACAATAATAAAAAAGAATAATTTTAAATTTATTTATTAAGCTTAAAATATTTATATTTCACTAGACTAGATTTTAGAAAGCTTATGTATTGTATTAAGAGTCCATGTATATAGTGGTAGAGGTTCACGTATAGGACTAAGGTCCATAGATATATCTAAGATGTAGAGTTTATATACACGTTATACATTTCATTGTAAAAGTGATTTATATAAAAAAAAAATTTATCATTTTGCAAATGACTCGAGTATATCTTTAGGTCTAATTGAAGTGAAAAAAAAATATTAATTTTTCATTTATCAAACTCTAAATCGCTTAAAATGATGGGTATATGGAGGGGTTTTCCTATCATCTTTCCAACCCTATGTTGTTAACGTTGTTCTACAAAAAACAAAAACTTTATGAACTCTTATAAACTTTTTGGTTAAAAATTAGTTGATTACAGCTAAAAAAAATTAAACTTTAGTTTAAAGGAATCTTAATCATCAATCTCTTTAATTAGTTTTTTCAATTCTCATCAGGATGGTTGTTAAACGTTATATTATATTTTATTATTAATTTTAATATAATATTTATTTTAATAATTACTTACACTTTGATAGGAATTAGGATGATTGACATTGTTACATATTATTTCACAATTGATTATATTATATTATATCGTAAAACAATAAAATTTCAATCGGTAAAAGCCAGCGCATCGTATTCCTAACTACCAATCACATCAATAGTGCAATATTTCAGGCTCTTCAAATTATTATAACTAACCAAAATTAGCCTTAGATAACAAACAAGCCATAATAACATGAAAAACGGTTTTGATGTTTCAATCTCAACTAATTTACCAGTAATTGTCTTTTAATTAAAGGGGAATTACTTTTTCCTTTCTTTTAAACAGAGTAAGTCTTGTATATTTCCAAAGAAATTATAAGATAACCAGAGTTTTTAATGATATGAATGAATGTTTGAGTCGAGGACTACTGAAAATAATTTTTTTTATAAATTACATTGAATATATTATTATTAAACATGAAAGTTAAAAGAATCGATGGCACTAACAAAAAAGAAAAGGAAGGACATAAAATGTTTTAGTAATGCTTCAAAAACACTCGATTATGCATGTTACCAAATTCACTGTTAGAGCTAATATTTTCAATTTGAGATTCCAATATCCATTTTACAGATATGTCCTTCTCTTTCAAGAACATCCCTATAAATAGCCTTACTAATTTTTATTTTTCTTCATCACAAATCATTTAGTTATTAATTACCACCACTTAAGCTAGAAACTATGTCATCTTCTTCTGCATTAATCTTGTTTATCTCATTGCTAATTTTCTCACAAGGGAATGCACTTAGTTCAAATTACTACGAGAACACGTGCCCTGAAGTTGAAGATATTGTTACACAAGTTGTTACTGAAGCAACAAAAAAGGACAAAACTGTCCCTGCTGCTCTTCTACGAATGCACTTCCATGACTGTTTCATAAGGGTACATTTTTGCATATTTTTAATCTAATTAGTACTATACTTTATATAATTCGTTCTAATTTTTTTTATTTGACATAGGGTTGTGATGCTTCGGTGTTACTAAACTCAAAGAAAAACACTGCAGAAAAAGATGGTCCTCCTAATGTTTCTTTGCATGCATTCTTTGTTATTGATAATGCAAAGAAAGCCATTGAAGCGCGTTGCCCTGGCATAGTCTCGTGTGCTGATATCTTAGCCTTTGCTGCTAGAGATTCAGTTGTCGTTGTAAGCAAACACTTCTTATGTCTGAACTGTCTGACCATCTCATCTAAAAATTTATTCTTCCTGCATTTCCAATTATTAACATAACGTCTATGGGCAGTCTGGTGGACCTTCATGGGACGTGCCTAAAGGAAGAAAAGATGGAAGAACATCGAAAGCTAGTGAAACTATACTATTGCCAGCTCCAACTTTCAACATAAATCGACTCCAACAAAGCTTCTCTCAAAGAGGATTATCACTTGAAGACCTTGTCGCTCTCTCAGGTTATCTAAACAAACTTATATACACTTATAACGTTAAAAAATAAATAAATTACACTATCAGTGTATACCTGTCTTACTTTTTGGGGTTACTAATTCCACTTATTGAACAAATGATGTGTCTCAATCTTCAGGTGGACACACCTTAGGATTCTCTCATTGTTCATCATTCAATAACAGGATACACAATTTCAATACCACACATGATGTTGACCCAACATTGCATCCAACTCTAGCAGCAACTTTAAAGAGCATTTGTCCACTGAAAAACAGGGCTAAAAATGCTGGAAGTCCCATGGATCCTTCCTCAACGACGTTTGATAATACATATTACAAGTTAATTCTGCAGAATAAGAGTCTATTCTCTTCAGACCAAGCTTTGCTCAGTAATCCCAAGACCAAAAGTCTGGTTACTGATTTTGCTAGCTCAAAAGACGCCTTCTTTAAGGCTTTTGCTAATTCCATGATCAAAATGAGCAGCATAAATGGAGGTCAAGAGGTCAGAAGGGATTGTAGGGTGGCTAATTAATTATTAATCCTTCAAAATTAATGATAATATATCCAGAAAAATGGAAGCAGTGTGGAGATTTGTGTTTTATATTTTTCTCAGATTTCATTTAGCAACTTATTAAGAACACTTCTACTATCGGTTGCTACAAATCAAGTTTACTTACGCTCGGTCTTTGCACCAAAATCAATAAATACACAAATATTTTTTAAGTGCACCTTTATCACTAACCAAACGGAATTTGTGACTGGTTTATTACTCCTCCAAGTGGCCCAAATCTCTACTGTCTACTAGTAGTAATTTGGAAAAAGTTAGATAGTAATGATCCAATTCAGGAAAATCAAATAGAGGTCCATATAAAGGGTCAAACTAAGGGCCACACTAGATTTTCTTTGATTTAAAGCTAGATGTTTTTAGATCCCACTCTTGTATGTCCACTGATATAAAAAAAAAAAAATCAAACATATCAAACTCCAATTTTAGTGTAAATGTAACATAACAGTTTACACGTATAAATTACTCGCTTCAATTGCGTTACGTTCTTAGCTAAATTCATATAAATTTCAAGGGTTTATACATCTTATGAGACAACCATCCGATATGAGATTTTAATATCTTTTTTTTTAAAACAAGTTCATACTTTTAACCAGTAAAAATCAATAAGTGAACTTACACAGAAAGAGTAAATCAACTAAATCTTGCTTACTAAAACATGTTTATAACTTAATCATTGAGAATCCGAGGTAATTGTTTAGATAATTAAAAAAAGAAGTAAAAAGATTATTCTCTCTATCAACTTTTTGACATTTTGGTTTATATAGAAGGCTCTAGCTAGCGGGACATTGGTGGTGGAGTAATAATCAAGTAGATAAGCAGGAAGATCAAATCATAATTATGTGTTATCATTGCAAACAAACAAATAGATACTATGCTTCATACTAATAGATATAAAGCCATGTGTGAAGTGATATTTTACTTGACTACTTACTATCTTACTCTACTAGGTACCACCTTTTTTTCAAATTGAAATGACTAATGCTGAGAACCAGACAATTTAGCTTAATTACATGCATAATGACTTTCCCCCCATAAATTTCAAATGTTAACCACCATAGTTAATGATTAGGCATAAAGCAGAATTTCTGCTGGACAGACAAAAAGTAATGAGAAAAATAGCAATTAGAGATGCTTAGAAAACACTCTACTATCTATGGCAAACATGCATGCCACCAAATTTTACTATTCAAGTTAATCATTTCAAATCTACAAATCAAAGAATAATCACAAAGGTTTGGTTCTCTACCTATAAGTAAGCATTTGTAGTTGTCAAATAACACAAGTCATAGAATAGTTGTCCAATGGCATACTTTGTTCCATTATTGAGCACATTTATTTTTTTCTCCATCTACTATTCTCAAAGCAATGCACTTAGTTCCAATTACTATGCAAAAACATGCCCTCAAGCTGAAGACATAGTAATGAAGGTTGTTAAGGAGGAAGCACAGAAAGACAGAACAGTGCCCGCTACACTTCTAAGGATGCATTTCCATGATTGTTTCCTACGGGTAAATAAGCATCTTCGCTAAGCATATTAGTTATTTTTACTGTACTTACTTCCTCTGTTCTACCTTGCTTGAAGGGTTGTGATGCTTCTATTTTGTTGAGCTCCAAGGGGAAAAACACCGCGGAAAAGGACGCGCCTCCTAATGGTTCTTTGCACGGATTCTATGTTATTGATGGTGCAAAGAGAGCAGTTGAAGCTATATGTCCTGGCGTAGTGTCTTGTGCTGATATTTTAGCGTTTGCTGCAAGAGATGCAGTTGTGTTAGTAAGTACATATCCCCTGCAAAAGTTATATACTGAACATCTCTCTCGTGTTTGGATGATGTGGATTTGCATAGAGTGTAATAAATACTATATTGTATAAGCTTATTACTAGTTGTTTTTTCAGTCAGGCGGACCTTACTGGAAGGTGCCTAAAGGAAGAAAAGACGGACGAATATCAAGAGCTAGTGAAACAACACTGCTTCCAAAGCCTACATTCAACATTTCTCAACTCCAACAAAGCTTCCATCAAAGAGGTCTCTCACTAGACGACTTGGTGGCTCTCTTAGGTCAGCACCAAACTTGATTTCTTAAAAATGGTCACTCAACTTACATCTGATACGACGATACATTTCTTCTCTCTGGCTTGCAGGTGCGCACACTCTAGGATTTACCCATTGCTCATCATTTATGAACCGTATATACAACTTCAACGCCACACATGACATCGATCCTACACTACGTCCATCGTTTGCAGCAAGCTTGAAGGGCATATGTCCACTCAAAAACAGGGCAAAAAACGCAGGAATAAGCAATGATCCTTCACCAACAACATTTGATAATACTCATTACAGGCTAATTCTACAAAAGAAAAGTTTGTTATTTTCGGATCATTCATTGCTCACTATACCAAAAACGAAGAGCTTAGTTTATAAGTTTGCTACCTCAAAAGCAGCTTTTCATAAGGCATTTTCTAATTCTATGATTAAGATGAGTAGCCTTACAGGAGGTCAAGAAGTTAGAAAAAATTGCAGGGTTGTAAACTAATTAATTATTATTAATTCTAATTTGATATTTTTATGTAATTTAAATTAGATGAAATGGAAGAGTTGATCAGTTGTTTCAAATGTTATAATTGGGAAGAAGAAAAAAAAAAAAGAGAAAGGGAATAGACAAAGAAAGTTGTTACCACAAGTGGCCGGCACAAAGAACACAGCATCAAAGATTAGTTCCCTCGCCTTTGAAAAATAATAAGTAATTAATATAAATATTTTATCATTATTTGATGTATAATCATTATTTGATGTATAATTTCAATTTTTTTTTTAAAAAAAAATGAATAATTACTAATTGGAGGAGTAATATTTTTATGTAAAAAGAAATTCAGTGAATATCAAACACCCCATAGACCACCAGTCCCCCAATATCAATTTCCCAAATAAATGAGTGACTAATATTTGATCAATAACTAAATAATAGCTCTTAAAATTCATATTTGTACTCCATGGTTGTACTTTATATAATTGCACTCTATAGTATAATTTGTGTTTGCTATGGAGTTATTTTTTTTTATATTTCGATTGTCGATTTCTTTTTATATATAATTTATTTTAAAAAAAATAAATAAAAAAGACAGTAATTTCGATTGCAATAAAAGAAATTTTTTTTTGAAATCACGCACATTATATATTAGTAGAATTTCTTTTCTTCTATGTCTTCTTCATCACTAAGAACTCCATTGAAGCTCAGTTTAGATTGTTGACTATTGTTTCGAATTTTGTATATTTATACAGTTTAGGTGCCTCTTTAATTTGGATATATGAATTTGTATATTTGTATAAAACTATAATTTGTGTATATAATCTTGTATATAAGTGTATATTGTAAATATGTATATAAATGAAAAATAGAATTCGTTGTAGTATACAGTGAAGATTCGTCCTTAGTTTGGATGTATGATTCTGTATATATACATTATACAAACAGATTTCAATTTATGTATATGTATAAGTTTGTGCAATTGTATATGTCTAAATGAACATTATACAAAAGTATCCTTATACAAATGCATTGTGTATGTATAAAACGAGAATGAGAACAAAACAAAATAAAATTGGGCATGGGAATATTTACATTGTATAATTATTAGTATATAAGATGAATATATATATATTTGCATGTGTATATATAATTTTCTCCCGTTTTATACAATTGAAAACACAATTTATACATTATGTTTCTATTTGTATTAGCTATAGAAGCGAGTGTGGTAAGGGAGATCTGGGAGAGGGTGAGCGAGATCTGGGAGAGAGAAACGAAAATATATGTATATGTATATATATAAATTTTTTTCGCTTTATACAAATACAAATTAAACGCATTTTATACACTTGTGTTTGTATAAAAGCGAGAGGGAGCGAGTGAGAGAGGGAGAGTGGCGAGCGAGAGTTTGAGAGAGAGAGGCACTGACAAATAGTTTGCTACAACACACAATTAAATCAAAAATGTGATTATAACATTTAATTTGATTTATTAGTTTGTCATTATATATTATTTTCCTAATCTATTATTAATGATATTTTAGAATTTTAAATTTTATTATTATTATTTTATATTGATATTTAATACTAAAAATTGATTGAAAATAGTAATCATTCTTTTTTTGTAAAATAAAAATAAATAAAAAATTCTTTTATACGAAACAAGTAAAATGAAACTGATATAGTACCAAAAAAAAGTAGAAAACTGAAAGAAGAGACTCATTTAGATAGACTAATTTTAAGAAAATCCTAAAATGGCACCAATTTGTAACCTTTTGTTATCTAGAATTTAGTTTTAAAACTATTTTTCCAAGAAATTTTGTGATTAGGCCCGACTCGAAATCGTGATATATAGTCCTTATCATCCTGCATATTCTGGAAGCCACACTCATAAAATCTTGTCGAGTACCCAGAAATCTTATTCATCCATGGCATTTGCTCACTGCTTCCTTACTGTCCCGGCTGATACTACAAACTTCCACACCGCTACTTCCATCCTTACCCGCCCCTTTTCATCTTCGGTGAGTTCTTCTTTTTCTTCCTCAAACCTCAAAACTTGCAGCCTCTCTAATTTCCACAAGAATTTGAGAATCGGACTCAAAGGTAATGCCTTTTTTCTCTCTCTGACTGAGTAAATTGGGTATTTCAGTAGATTGCTAATTTGTTTTTTTTCCCTGTGTTTATCGTAGATAACGTTTACTAATTCAATTTAGTGATGGTAGTTATTGAGTTGAAAGAATTGAAATCTGGTGGTTGTTAATTTGAAAACCTTGAAATTCACGCAACTGTTTCCTTTACCCAACTTCATTGTGCGTCTATGCTATTACCGGTTAACGTCACTGTAAAGTTCACCATCCTACTATGGTTTTCTAGGCCGTTAGGTATAAATTCTCTTATTTACTTTTTTTTTTTATAAAAAAGAAAGGGGGTTGGGGTAATGGAAAGGGGATTACAAGGTGAGAAATTGTACCCTCGCCAACTAGGTGAAAGTTGAGGTAGCCAACT